CTCGAAGCATGTTCGCAACGCCTAAGCCACAAGAGGCCAACAGTTTCTGTAGAAACGTCGGTTATGTCTGTGGTCGATAGTCTTTGCGGTGTTTCTTGTTTATTTCTTTGTGGCATATTTTTGTGCCTGGGTGTTATTGTTTCGGTGTGCCATCCGTGTCCGTAGGGTTCCCACTGTTGTTCTCACGGGGAGGCAGGGGTGGGGGGGGGGAGAGAAAGCAGAGGGGTGTGATTTGCCCATGAATTCTGATAAGGACTGTGCCAGCTGTTGTTACTGGTCTACTGTTCTGGTCTCTCCACAAGGCTGTGGGCGTTCTTTCTACTTCTTGCTGCACTAAAAACGCATGGTGGAAAAATAACTGGGGCTGTCACTGATTTACTTTTCATTCAGTTTTATATTTTTTCACGCAGGTAAAGACAATACCTCTCGACGATTATCCTAGAAACACGTTCTCAGGCTGGAGCTTGGCCGCCGTATATAGATCATAACCTTAGAATCTAAAGTGCATATTCCTGAGAGGCGAGGAACCAACAGCCTGCATACAGATATGGCAGATCCGTAAAACAGATGTGCACGCGACATTCAAGTTATCTTCTTCTTCTTCGCGTTCACCAGCTGTAAACTCTGGCGGAAGGTTCTGGTTGCTCGTCCACTACTGTGTGTTGCGTGTGCATCAGTTTTACAGATCTCATTCTCTTGAATACAGACTGTTGGTTCCTTGCCTAACCGGCAGATGCACTCCGACTTCAAAGGAAGCTCCCCAATTAGTCGACTCTTACGACATGCTTTTGTGGAGGCAGTGGGTCTATTCTTGTTTTCCCCACAATGGGGCCCCGGAACCCACACGGGGGAAATTGAAGTTATGAACAAAACCAAAAGTTCAGAAGTGGACGAGTGAGTAACCATGACTTTTCTCCAGAGCTTACAGCAAGGAAGAAAAATAAACAGATTTTCCAGCACTTTATGGAATAATAATTTAAATCTTCTTCTTCTTCGTCGTCGTCGTCGTCGTCGTCTTCTGCTTCTGTTCTTTTGCTGCTTCCTTCTTCGTTTTTTTTTTTTTTAAATAAATGTATTGCTTTGGGTAGAATGAACATTGCTTTCCAAGGGCAATAATTTAGTGGCTAGCACAATATCTGGAAAATTCACTTTCGGAACAAATGACTCACCCTAAACCATAACAGAAAATTGACTCAGGTTTTCCCAAGGACAAGAAAATTTACATCCTGCCACACAAGCGAGTCTCTGTTGTGATGGGTGAAAGTAGCAAGCGATGCTGATAACTCATTTTGAAGTTTATATTGCAGCGTAAATTTGCAACGCCTAAGATTAAAGTGTGATTGCAGACGTGGGAGGATGTTAAGATCGTAATTTTTAGAAACGGGACATAGAGGACGGGTGAGTCGTGTTGTAGGTGAGAAAGGGGAAAAAAATGTCCCAGTCTCAACCCAAACAAGAATGCAGGTTACACCAGCCTGATCGGCCCCACGGGTGCTCCATCCATTACTTATTTAGACGATAACAGGTTAGAATGATTATCACTATTCGGCCGAATACAAATAACGGGACCAACTATTCAGCCGAATACGAATAGTGTGTAGTGTATAAAATAAATCTTTAAAAAAAAAGGTTAATAATGTCAAATGTACGCTGAACTTTTACTTCACAAACTGTGGTGCAGAAGAATCTTCTCCTTCTTCTTCTTGAACATTTCGAGCCCTAGAGGTTCATTGCTATAGATATCAGCTACAGATATCACTCGCCTCCATTCATCTCTCTGGTTGGCCTTCTTTTTCCACGTGTTGACATCCATTGTGTCTAGGTCTGTCTGGACATTATCTCTCCATCGTCTTCTTGGTCTGCCTCGTGGTTTACGACCATTCCTCTCCCTTGTGTATACATCTGTTACTTCTCTGTCCTCTGACATTCTTTCAATATGTCCCAACCATTTCAGTCTATTAGCTCTCACGATGCCAGTGATTACTGGCGATTTAAACAGATTATGAATTTCGTTATTGCTTCTCACTCTCCATCCACCGCTGTTTGCATCTTTGATGGGTCCAAAGATTCGCCGTAAGAATGTTTTCGAAAACCTGTAATAAGGCTACATCTCTTTTAGTTGTGCTCCAAGTTTCAGAGCTATATAAAACTACTGGTCTTATCAACGTTTTATATATTTTGATCTTGGTGTTGCGAGACAGACACTTTGACTTTAGCAAATGATGAAGGACATAGTACACTTTATTTCCAGAGTGTATTTTAGATTGTATTTTTTCTCCCATCATGTTGGAGCAGTTGAAGTTTGCACCCAAATACTTAAATGTTTCCGTTTGTTTGATTTTCAAATTATCTACTTGTATGTGGCCGGAGTTTATTTTGTTTCCCTGTCTAGTTAGTATTAGTACAGAAAAGTAAACATTTAAAAACATTTTATGTTTTGCATCCTTTAGACAGTCTGTGGTAACTAGTTAACTAGGAATGAAAGTATTCTAAGTATTATAACAAGTATGTAACTAAACTTGTAAATTTTTATCGACAGCATAGTTAATGAATGAAAGTTGCATTAGCTTTCAACAAAACGAATCGTTCCATGTTGTCAGCATTAAGGCCGTGTGTGCAGAAAAGGGGTAAGGTAACCACTATTCGTATTCTGCCTGACCGCAAGTATTCGGCCGAATACCGAATAGTTATTAGGTCCACTATTCGGCCCCCGAAGCGAATATGAAGCGAATGTTCGGTACAGCTCTAGTTAGAATAATCTTGTTGGCTAGCCACTCAGATTCGGATTTTGTAAACCCGTCAGCCATCCTTTGGTTCTCTCGCAAATCCTTATCATCTTATTGTTGTTGTTTTTGTTGTTGTTGTTGGTTTTCTTCTTCTTCTTCTTTTTCTTATGCATGATGCCAAAATCATGGGTTTTTAGCAAACCCTTAATTAGTCACAATTTACACCATGCTTATTGGGGGCGGGGTAGAGTTAATCATACCCCCCCCCCCCCCATCCCCTGTAGTGGATCATGTGGAACAACGAAGGACCTAGTTATACTATTATCAGGTGTTCCAAGCGTCTATCCTTTCCAGAGTCGTCCTTTCCGTCACTTCTTGATCCAAGCAATTTGTTTAGTTCTCTTCATGAGCCCCACTTTAGTGTCTCTGTCGCACCATCTGAGTCCTCTAATTCTGCAGAGGCACTAACGAATCTGAAATAACCAGGTACACAACAGCAACTTCATTAAAGGATCAGATAACACGACGGAGTGGGAATTCGTGACTGCTGATTTCCGCCCCAGAACAAATATACGAACCAGCAGAACACGTATTGACGAACAAAAAAATTGACCGATTGCTCCCCTAAGAAGCAAGTCGTAACAGGCGACTAATTAGGGTCTGTTTTCTTCAAAGTCGGACTGCATTTGCTAAGAGTCTGCGAACTAACAGCCTGCATCTGCCTAGTTGACCATGTTATTAATACACTTGGTTCCATAGAGTCTCACACGCCGTCTGGAGGTGACAGGTTCGATTCCCGGCACGGTAACTATAGTTTTCTTTTTTTTTTTATGTTGCCTAAGGTGTTCTTCTATCTTTCTACTTCTTTCTATGAGTGCCGATCAATACACTGCCTGTTACCTTATTAATACATAGATTAGAAAAGCAGTGATCACCCGTCGGAGCTTCCCTTATAGACCCGCTGCCAGCAAAGGCATGTAGTATGCCCTGCCATAGTGAAGTATGTATGTATATTTGAATGTATGTATTTGCCATCCCTGATGTTGTATATTTTTTTGTTACCTTACACCGATACTGTCTATTTTGCTTTGTGACGATAACAAGCTTTGTAGATACCAATACCATTGATGTACGAAAGGTGAGTGTCTGGAACGACAGAAAGAAAGACAAAGAACAAGAAAAAAAAAAAGAACAACAACAATAACAACAACGACAACAAGATGAGGAAGAAGAATGTGACCGGTTGATTCCATTTGTCTGTGTTTATTTTCTAATTTGTTAAAACTCTCTTAGCATTCTGTATATCTCCAAAGCTTTTGCTTACATTAATAGTTTTTATTTGCATGAAATACTTCTATATATAAATCTGAAGGACCAACCTCGACCCAATTATTTTACTTGCTCCAAGTTACCCCCCCCTCTGGTCACATATGCACACGCACGCCCCCCCCCCCACACACACACACACATATATATATATATATATATATATATATATATATATATATATATATATATAAGTACTGTGAATTGACGGAAACCGGGGAAAGGATCCTTTCCCTCCCCCTCCCCGGTTAGAACTTTAGGCTTAGATCCCCGGCCCCTCTAGAATTCTTTTAAAGGGGGTTGGTGGGGCTGAACACACCTCCTCTTTTCTGAATGTTTTCTACATACACATACACGCGCACCACGTTGTTATTTCTTATTCCCCTCTTCTCACACCCCTCCTGCTCACAAAGTCGCCGATCAGTAATTAGGAAGTGGAAAGCAACTGACGAATGTTAAAAAATGTTTCGCTCGAGGCCGAGACTAGTTACCAGTCACTTCATTATGGGCCCCGGGGAGTGTACTGTGTAGAAACCTGTGCTTGTGGGGTGGCCAAGTTTCCGTGTTATGTTCCCATTCTGGATACCGTCGCGCCGAGCCTTAAATTATATCTGAATGCTTAGCTCGTTTTGATACAGAAAGGTCATGACTTTTGAACCGTGAACTTTCTTGTTATGCTTGCAGTGTAGATGAATGGAGATTCCGTTGACTGTGGGTCGATTGACTTTCGGTGCAAGAAGTTTGGATTACTTTACAAACATGTGACGGTTGGTTGATGTTTTTAGTTTTCCTTGGTGATAAACGTAAAGATACAGAAGTGTCGCTGACTCATGTAAACATGAGACAGGCATGCTGAGAGGTCGGTAAACCTCGTCTGCTTGACTCCAGCCGGATTCCTGGTGCTAATTTTCATACCAGTCACAAGAAAGCGGAACCGTGTGTGTACAAATGGATAACATCGATGAAATATCCCGGAATTCGCTCAACTGGGAGGATTTCTTTGGTAAGGAGTTTTCTTGTCACCTTTATATATAAATGTATTACTGTTAATTTCATAAAGAAATTACCGACGGGGTAAAATTAAAATGGGTATCTTGGTCAGGGCATCATTATTTACATCTTGTGTGTGTTAAATCAATTGGAGGTGTCAGCTTATACGTAGCAGTTGTTGTAATTAATAGTAGTAGCAGCAGTAATAGTGGTAGCAGTAGTAGCAGCAGTAGTAGTAGTCGCATTAGTAGGGGTAGTAGTGGTGGTTGTAGTCGTTTAAGCATATAAATCAGGTTAAATCTTTTTGAGTTATAATTTGGAAATATCGTTTCACGTCATGTTGTGTGTCCAGTGCCGGCTTTCACAGTCAACTGTTTATGTTTACATCGTGAGCTGCAGTTTTGGTGTGGAACCATTAGTGCTAACACTCTTCTCGTGACTGCCTTATGCATTTACTTTGCGAGTGTGAGCTTAAAGAGCTTGTTGGGGCTGACATGCTTTTCACTAGTTTTCACACGGAACAAGGAAGAACTTTTGTGATTGTTCACTTGTGGAGGAACAAAGCAGTTTTTAGATAATCCATCTGCAGTGAAGCTGGAACTGCAACTAGTGACTGAAGTAGATGTGTCACTTGTGTATCTTCTTCTGCTGCTGCTGCTTCTTCTTCCCCTTTTTTGAAAAGATTAGCCTAACGGCATCGCCCGGGAAAAATTTCGGGATACAAATCTACGTAAAGTTTTTCAGGAACCCCGCCAGAGCTACGGAGTTCGTGCACTGTGCTGATAATTTTCGGACTCAGGTTTGAGTTAGAAGTAGAATAGAGTACTTATGGGTTATGATGTTGATCCGTTGTTTAATTCTAGTAGTAATTCTTCGCCTTCACCGGCTGTAAACTCCAGCGGAAAGTTATGGTTGTTTGTCCACCTCTAGACTTTAGTCTTGTTTCCGAACCCGAGAGTCCGTTTAACAGATCTGACTAAACTGTATGCAGATTGCTGGTTCCTTGCCTCTCAGGCAGGTGCACTCTGACTTCGAAGGAAGCCACCACTTAGTCGACTCCTACGACATGCTTGTTTGGGGTGGCAGTGGGTCTGTTCTTGGTTTCCCCACAATGGGGCCCCGCAACGCACACAGGAAGCGTGTGTGGCTAGGACATGCAAATTCTTTAGTTCTCCAATACTAAACGCGTGCAAATACCAGCCCGAAATTCTTTCAGGCTAAGAGTTAATCCTATCTCTGGGCATCGCCCTTGGGGACTGTTGACAATGAAGCCTAAATCCTTCAAGGACCTATTACCGGCCTAGGTAAGCCTAATCTCGTTCAGTCCGTGTGTGCTGTGCTGACCTATTTTTTGGGGAGCGGCTGAGCACCCTCGAATTTTGTCAGAAGCAGAGTCCTTTGTTTTCTCCGCTGCATCACTGAACCGATATAAATTGTTTTCAACCAACTATGTATAGTCATTCTCATGTGAAGCCTTTTTTTTTAGGGTTGGGGAGGGGGGTGAAAAAATTCCATTGTTTTAGTAATCTATATACGAATAGCGATGCTTAGGGAAGAGAGGGCATAAAATAAATGACTGCACAGAGGCGTCCATACATCTTAAATGCGTCATTGAAGACAGTAATCGTTTTTTTTTTTTTTTTGGTACGTTATGAGGAGAAAAAAAAAAACTAGAACATGCAGAGACGACTGGGGCCTAGTGTAGAAAGAGAGATAGGAGTCAGCACTCATACTGTTAAAGGTCCCAAATTGTGGAGAGACAACATCACCTACGCCAGGCGGCCATTAATTTGTTTTTGATAATGATGAAAGACAATTCCATTAGAGGCTGCACGTTGGTAACGAGTCGGAATAATGTAAACCTCACGCTGACAGGTGCAAACCCATTTTACTGCTCAGACAACATGGAAGCTTGATGTGTCAGAATAATGATAAAAATAACACAATAATATCTCACACATTTCTTGATACTCCTTACTATAAGCTTTTGATATTCCAACAATAATCTCATAATATTCCCCTCACGAGTCTCTTGGTGTTCCTTACATTAATTTCTTATATTTGAACAATAATCTCTTGATATTCCCCTCACAAATCTCTTGATGTTCCTTATAGTAATCTTTTGATAATTCAACAACAATCTGTTGATACTCCAGCAATAATCTCTTGTCATTCTCCTTACAAATCTCTTGATATTTTTCACAATAATGTATATATCCCTGAAAAAAGCTCTTGATATTCAAACACAAATCTCATGATATTTCAGCAGTTAGGGAGTCGCCGCGGCGTTGGCAGCTAGAGGCCCGCTAGCAGATTGTAGTGTCGTGGGTTTGGGCCCTATGGGAGCCGGACTTTTTTTTTTTTCTTTTTTAAAAAATGACCTTGACTCCCAGGTCGACCCAGCCTTGAATGGGTACCGGGTGCAGTCATGGGAAGTCAAGTACCGATCGGTCTATAAAAATAAAGGTCTAGCCCTATATACCCAATACGCCCACAGGTGAGGAACAGGGACCTTTCGCTTTTACGTGTGCGCCCACAGTTGTCCGAAATGGTAAAACTATTGCAATGGTTTGCCGGGCTAGCCTAATGCGAAAGCCGCGATTCTTGGTCGCCTACACAGGACGTATTCACAGATCACACGGTGTGGCTTTCCAACAGTGGTCCTTTCTTGTAGGTGCAGCCTGAGGTCGCGACCGAGAGCATAAGCTGAAAATAAAACTGGCGTCAGTTGTTTTCTGCTTAACGTGACTCATCGGGTAGACACATATTCTTGGGCAATGATACATGCAGTCCCATGGCAGTTGAGATACTTAACCTTTTTACACTCGGGGCCCACCAAAACGAGATAGTGTTTCGCGACCCAACTGACAGCTAACTAAACACAGAAACAAAAACAAATGTAGATAGAGGTAGTTTTGTTAAATTCGCTGTGACATAACTCTAGTTTTTAGCAAATGTGGCATCTGCTGCTGCTCAGGCATGATAAAATAAGGGTGGGGGCGTGAGGCATCTGGAATATCTGCCTGTTTTATTTCTATCCTTGGTTTGGTAATCCTACTGTCTGCAGTCAAGTAAGAAAAAACATACCTATACATAATTAGGTAAACATGTTTGGCGGCCCACCTGGTTATTTTTGTGGCCCACTGGATGAAAAACACTGGCTTAGACCAGAATTGTAACAGACTCTGAAAGCATGCTGACAGGGATGTTTCGAGCAGAGTGACAAGCTTCACTTAGAAGATCACGGGTAGGGAGCATACTTCGGATCCTTCTGTCGGCGGGGTGGGGAATGAACAGGCAGACATATTGGATGGATCTGCACCGCTGGGTGGTGAATTGATACATGACAAGGCAGGTGTGGTCAAGGCCCTTTGGGAACAAGTAACGAAGTCAGTAGAGAAACTAGATTATTATGGCCTAGAGAGAATGATGCACCTGGTTGTGACCAGAGGGTCTGGCCGGCTCACTACACTCAGAGGAAAGGCAAGATGGACATATAACCAGACTGTGACTGGTATCATAAGTATTGAAGCTCTGCTGTGCGCTGGCTGCCGAAGATAGGAACGGAGCACACAGGGGAATGTCCCGAGTGCTGTGATGTCAATTCTTGACTGAACTCAACTGGCATAGACCACTTCAGACCTTCCCGTCAACCCCGAAAATGTGTAAAAGGAAAAGCTGGTCAGTTAGTCATCTATACAAGTTCCCCACTTAAAAAATGTGTTCTTACATCTCACATTATTTCAGATTTGTTATTGTACTGATTTACCATGTAGCACATTGTTATTGTCGCTGCTCCGCATCTAATCAAGGCTTAGACCTCTTGAAGCCCTCTAGAAGATGTATAAAGGGATTGAGCCATTCCCCCGAGCACCCCTAATGTTTTGTGTGTATGTGTGCATTGGCACCCCTGGTTCAGATATTAAGTGGTAGGCATTCACACATTTGAAGCCACGACGTTCGAAGTTCAAGTTTGGCTGGCCAGTTCACACTCACCTGTCTTTTTGTTCCCACACACAGTACCCGGTAAATTTGAAAATGATCTGGTATAAATTCTTACAAAAACTGAAAAGGGTACACAAAAAAACTTTAAAAAAACGCCCCCCCCCTTCTCCTCTTTGTTTTTTCTTACACCAACCTCCACATACCCCGCCATAGTTGAATTACTGTCCGCGACGCACCATGCTATTGACAAATAGGTTCGCCATAAAACGACAGCACATTGGCAAATATTAACCTCTTTTAACTTCAGTGAAAGGGGGCCAAATTCAATTGTATTGCCATGTAATAAAATCTAACGGCCTTCCAAGAACAATACTGAAGAGGGAAAGAGGAGAAGAGGCAGACCAAGAAAGACCTGGTTACAGAACCTGAATGACTGGACAGGCCTCAGGCATGCAACCATGAAGTCCATTGCAACTGACCGCCAAAGGAGGAGAGAGCTGATCAGTCAACAGAAACTGGTGACCCAATGACACGCAGTGTTACGGGATAATAATAATAATGATGATGAACCTCCACGTGTAACTGAAAAAAGAAAAGAGGCTCGTATAGGGTCTGAACTAGGGCTGTACCGAATATTCGCTTCGTATTCGCTTCGGGGCCGAATAGTGGACCTAATAACTATTCGGTATTCGGCCGAATAGTTGTGGTCGGGTCGAATACGAATAGTGGATACCTTACACCCGTTTCTGGACTGGTGGAAAATAAACATATCAAGAACTCACACCTTGGTTCATACTGTCAAGTGTTATCTTTGTGCACCATTTACGAGCGTACCAAGAGAACGTCTGTTTATAGTACAGCTGGAAATACCTTCAGTGAGACAAGCTGCCTTAATGCTGACAACATGGAACGATTTCGAAAGCTGATGCCGCTTTTATGGATTAACTAAGCTGTCAGTGACAATTTACAGGTTTAGTTAACTTGTTATAAAACTAAGAATACTTCCTAGGTATTAGTTACCACAGACTGACTGACTGGAGGATGCAAAATATGAAATGTTTTTAAATG